CTTGTGCAGGGTATCCCTTGACGCCAGTATATCCATCGCTGAAGAGTATCTCGAGTTGTGGCACAGTGGTATCGTTCAACCACTGAAGCTTCTTTTGCTCGACTGGATGATCGGAAGCCCCCACAGCCTCGTGAGCAAGCGCAAGCATGTCCGCCTCACTCTCGTCGCCGAGAGCCTGGTTCCAGTTGGTGAACGTGTAGCCGCTGCCAGAGTATCCGTACATCGACGTCTTGCCATCCCACCACAGTTGCAGTTGCTCGGCAGCATACGCAGTGTCGTACTTGAGGCGATCGTATCCGGTGTACTTCTTGCTGAGCTCGTATGAGCTTTGGATTCGGATGTGGTCTTGGAGGTTCTCGCCGACGCCTGGGAGGTTGATGATCTGCTCGATACCTGCAGCGGAAAGCACATCAGAGCTACCGATACCAGAGTTCTCCAAGATAGAAGGGCTGAGGAGACCACCGCCTGAAACAATGACCTCGCGACGGGCTGTCAGAGTGGTTCCATCGACTAGCGTAACACCGGTAGCTTGATGCTCTCCGTCGGATGTAAGCTTAAGGTTGACCTTGGCAACCTTGGACTCTGTCAAAACGAAGTGATTGGTTCCAGCCAAAGGAAGATAGGAGTTGGCGCTATAAGACCGGTTGTAGTGGGTTGGCTCGATGCTGTTAGGCGAGTACAGAACGCCCAAGGAATTGCCATTCAACGATTCCAAGTTAGTTTCGATACCGAGGCTGTTCATCACAGGTATCAACCCAGCTTGGTGCTCGGGAATAAGGCGGTTTATCAGCGCCTTGATCGGGCCCGAATCTCCCACACCCTCACTTCCTGTATAATACTGCGTGTTGGCCGAAGTAAAGTTCTCGGACTTCATCATAGCGGCGCGCATCGAATCCCAGTTCCAACCAGGGTTTCCCAGCTCTTCCCAGCCATCGTACTCATGGGCAGACGCTCTGTCGTATGAAAAGAGGTTCAGCGCGGAACTGCCGCCCAGAACATGGCCTCGCGTCTGGACCCAAACGCGCCCGTCGGAACCCTCTTGGGGCACGGTCGTCAAGTTCCAGTCGTACTTGGTACCGAATGTCGTGCCTCTGCGCCCAGGGATCTCGATGCGTTCATCCCCAAGACCTGCTTCGCCGGCCTCGATGACAAGGACTGTCGCATTGGGCAGGCCCAGGCTCAGGCGGGTTGAAAGGGCAAGGCCCGCGGTACCGCCTCCGACAATGATCTTCACATTGTCAGCTTTTAGTTCAACTTGGCTTTTCAGTTTGCTACATGACACGTACATAGTCGTAGGCCTCAGCGGTTCGCTTCCCAGGAGCCGCGGTCGCGACGGTCGCCAGCAGGGCCGTGAGTATAGTGGCAGGGAGCATGTTGGCTACGGCTGATCTTAGCTATCCGTGCGCCAGATGAGTTGTGACGATGCGGTTCTAGACTCCAGGGAATCCATGCCGTTGATGCGACGCGTAAGGCTGTGAATATGAGACGAACATACCTCTCGAGGATTAGAGGGTGGCACGAACGTCGAGGGAAAGGGTGTCGACGACGATCTCAAGCTGCCCAACACGAGCTTGAATTGGCCCTTGAGTCAGGTAAACAGGAGGGGGTGAGGTTCTGACGGTTGCTCCGGAAAAGGTTCCGTCAACCCTTTTGTACGAAAGATCCTGGGGTGCCATGACAAGCCGATGCGCGATAAAGCGATTCAATTTGCCGTTTGATCAATCACATCGTCCCATCCCAAGGCAAAGGTCCCGAGGAAGGCAGGGTTCGTTCCAACGAACCGCAGTACCGGCCCTTGCAGATGCATCGCAACACGCAGACGGATTGGCCAGCTCCTCGGAGAGCAGCCTGGGGCTAAACCCGAGTTTGAACGGTCAGGCTGACTCCCGAGTGGGGTGAAGATGGGAATCCGGTGAGGTTTCATTGCTAGAGAACACCGCCCAGATATTGGACGCCACTCGCAACCTTGAGTGTTCCCAGGGTCCAATGTGTTTTCTTTCCCAACTGCCATGTTTTTGGGGAGGGAGAAGAAGAGGGGTGCCACTGTTGTCGGGCGTTGTGACAGGGATTCGGCAGTTTACCCCGGTCGTGCCCCCTAACACAAACTCCACGCCGGTAGCGACAGCGGCAGCTGCGGGAAGAAGTTCTGCTTAACGTTCACTGAAAGCGGCAGGGGATACTCGGGTTCTGTTCTTGCGAATCTCACACGAGCATGCGCCAAGGCGGCGCGGAAAGGGGCGAATTTGGTTGTGCTGAAGAATGTGGATAAGCGAGCAACAGGCCTCAATTGAAGTTGTATGCCGGTTTGTATTTGCTCGCCTGCAGTTATCAATCATCACTCCCATCAATTCTGTCGTGGTCTTACGAGAAGTACTCGAAAGACCTCTTGGACCGCAGTCCGTCAACATTCTCCGTAATTCGAGGTAGTTGATGATGCAGTGGATTCTCGCGATGTCCACCATTAGTCACCTGAAGGCGGGCTGGACCGTCGGTACGGCAGATCCCAGGAGCTTTGGCTCCAGCTTCCATGGACTTGCCTTGCTCGAAAGTCCATGCGATTTATTGAATTTTATTAGAACTACCTTGTATCTTTTCCTAATCCACCACACGGTATATCCACCACAGTCATCATGAGCATCATATCTCCCTCACAAACAAGTTCTCCCCGGGATCCAGATGCCTCGACGTTGGAAAATATCACGGTGCATTTACTCCGTCAGTAAGAGCTCGAGAGATCCGGAAGTCCACCTTCAGTCCGGCACGTCCCACAAACTTCGGGCCGTTGTTCTCTGCGCAAGGAACTTTGTCATGTCTCACGCGCACTGCGACCGGTTCGTCTCTCTCGCTGGGGCTTTTCCGATCTCACTTGCCTTCCTAAAATAATGCCCAGACATTCAGTGGAGATGCGAGTCAGGAAGCCTGAAAGCAACCAACAAGGGCCCCAACCGAGGACATTGGCATCCCTTGCACTTATCTGCGCGACTGCGTGGCACGCTGGTCGCACAGGAGATTCCGCACTCTGGGGAGGCCTTCCGCTGCATTCTTGCGCGCTTCGAGGCCTCTGCGGGCGGAAAGTCTAATGCCATCTGGCACGTTTGAATGGGCCATGCCTTGACCGAGTGGTGTCGCAATATCTGGGGCCCCCAGCGACTTCGCCCTTGAACAGTCGGACGAATTGCCTACCCCGTCTGGCAAAGAGTCCTTGCAGAATATGTGTATCAAACAGAATACTGTGGCAGGCTGTCGGTCGGACCGTACGATGGACATATAGAACCCAGCCTCGTGCACCGACTGACCCACGACTTTCAGCCGAACGTCGCGGCTTTGGACACCACGCTGAAGTCAAGACTGTTCTGTTGAACAGCGCCGATGCAAAAAGCCAGCCATGGGGCATCTGAAATCGATCCTGACAATGTCGACAAGCATCCTCCAACGAGACGAGGCGCTCCCTCCCGACGAGGACATCGGTCCCGCCTCCGTTGCAACCGCGGCCGTCCTGACAGCACTTATGATCATCACCACCAGTGCTCGAATATGGGTTCGAACAGCGAATCGAAAGCTTGGTTGGGACGACTGGACGATTCTCATAGCGAGTGGGGTCTCGATTGTACGGTTTGCGTTCGTGGTCAAGCAACAACAGTACGGCAACGGCAGACACCGAGTCTATCTCAGCGACTATGACTACATGATGATCAACATGTACGGATGGTGGGGTCAGATTTTGCTATTCCTCGCAGTAGCTTTTCTGAAGGTGTCGATCTGTCTCCTGATTTTGCGGATCAAAGACACCAAAATCCTAAAGATCCTGCTATACACGATCATGGGAGGAGTCTTGGTTTCGAACTTTGGAGTGGTCATTATTTTGGTTGCGGAATGTCAGCCTGCGGGTTTCTGGCGAGGGAAGTCTGCAAAATGCTGGCCAACACAAATTCGAATTTACTCGATTTGGGCTACAATCGGTACGTTGATCCGATCTAACAAAACCTTTGAAACCATGGAAACCAAAGGGGCTATTCTGCGTGATGGAACTAACATTTCAATATTCAGCCTTCTCGGTTTTGACCGACTTGATATGCTCCCTTTTGCCTCTAGCCGTCGTCTGGAACGTCAATATGCCGAGACGGACAAAAGTCTCAGTGTGTTTCTTGATGGGACTGGGCTTAGCGTAAGAACAATTTCCACCATCCAAATGCCACGGATCTTCCCTCTCTACGGCCTAGCGTCTCTGTTTCAGTTCTACAGCTAACTCAGAATACAGTGCAACTGGCTTCGGTATCGCAAGAGCCGCATCTCTTGGTATTAACACCACCGATCTGAGCTGTAAGTCTCCCATTCTGCCTGGTCATTCTGCCTGGTCAAGGGATATCTTACAAAGTTTGGACAGGGGCATACTGCATTGCTGGAATCTGGTCAAACCTCGAGCTCTTCCTGGGCATCATCGCAGCGAACCTGGCCCTGTCGCGGTCGATATGGGTCCATTTCTTCGGGAGCAACGACTCCCACGCGATCCCTGGCTCAACCGGCCGTTCAAATCCCACCGAGTCGGGTTATGTCAACAGCAAACTCCGAGGCGACCAATTCGAAGTGCCATCGACAATGGTCCGTTCCCGTAGACGGGGATCCGAGACGAGAAGCTCGAATAGCGATATACCTTTACAGCCTGGTATCCAGAAAAAGACGGAATTCTGGTGGACAGAGGATGATGAAAGCCAGTCACAAACGCCGTTGAAGAGGTGATCGGATGTCGGAGGGATAAGAGTGCGAGCGGTCTGGCGGTGGATAGGGCAGCGCAATCAATTATGATTATGATCGTACGAATACCCACTGGCAGGGCCCGGGTCAGTCCCCATCGTGAAAGAATTCTGCCGGACCCGTGCTTGGCGTCCAGCACCGCGCGGAATGTGTCTCTTTGCTTTAAGCTTACCCGACGTCACGGGAGCGGCGGGGAGATAGGCTAAGTTTGGATGAGCAGTCAATTCTGCATTCGTAATCAGAGGCTACTAATTCTCAGATATCACGACGACCAACTTCGCTCCGCCGCCGCCACTTTCCAGTATTTCATGGACCTTTTGAATTTCATCCAACCTGAAAACCTTTACTGGGACTTTGATCTTCCCGTCTTCAACGGCCTGGATAAGCTCTTCCCACGGACACGCCCTAAAATCATCCGGCCCACCACCGTACACCGAAAGCCGGACTCGATTCGGAAGGAACTCGAACGGGGAGAACTGAGTCAGCTCCCACTCGCCGCCCTGAATACCTGCCATGCACACCGTTCCCATCTCCACGGCGCACCGAGCACTATCTCGTAAAGTCGTTGTGCCAACAAGCTCCAGAATCTTGTCGAACTTGCCAGCCCTGCTCGCCGAAACATCTGCTTCGATGCTGCCGTCATCAATATAGACCTCATCGGCGCCATGATCCTTTAGCATGCCAGTCCTCGCCTCGCTTCTCGTCGTGCCACCGATGCGAGATGCCCCCAGGTACCGCGCCATCTGAATTGCGCAGATCCCAATTGAGCTTGTCGCGCCTCTGACCAGCAGACTTTCGCCACGTTTGAAATCCAGCCCTTTCACTAGGGCGCCCCAAGTAGTCTGGAACATCTCAGGCAAAGATGCTAGGGTGGCGACCGGAAGGCTGGTCTGGGGGAATGGGCGAACATTCTCGGCGGGCACGCAGACATACTCGGCGTAAGAGCCGGGAATTTCGCGGCCGAGACCGCCCATGCAGGTTGCGACGCGGGTCCCGATCGGAAGACCGGCGGTGCCGGGGGCAGGGGCGTGGTGGGCGGCGACGGTTCCGATGCACTCGATGCCGATAATTCGGGGAAATTGGATTCCGGGAGAATGACCCTGGCGTGTGAACATCTCTGAAAACTCGTCAGACTCTCTGCAACTCAGGTCAGAATTGTGATTCGATCTTACCAGCCCTGTTGATTCCGAATCCGAGGATTTTGATCAGAACTTGGCCGGGCTGAGGAACGGGGACTGCTGTCTGTTGAATTTGCAGCACAGAGATCGGGCCAGTCGTAGGGCAGATAACCGCCTTCATAATCTTTGGGACATGCGTGATTTCTAAGGTATATTGGATCAAAGGAGCTGGATTGTAGCAATGCCTGTTGGAAACAAAGTGCACTTACTTCAACGCCTGGAGCTCTGCCTCTTTTATCGTTACGAGCGATGTTAGTCACAGTGACGCAGCTGTTTTTTTGACAACTACATGCTTACATGGAAAGCGGTGCGGGGGTGTTTTGGTTCCGGGCGGGATTACAAGCAATCGGCTTTGACCAATCTCGTTCTCGTTCTCGGGTTTAGAATACCATCTACCTCCGATCCCGATTATTCAAGTTGAATGATCAAGTAAATCAGAACGAATTGGTAATCAAATGCCGTTCATTACGTTAGGATGGTACTTGGCTCGGACTTGCTCTCGGAACCCCTTTCGGCAGAAGTAGCAGAAGAACTCACGCTGCCTCCGCTACATCCAAGCCCCGCCCCGCCGTTAACGGCAGAGTGGATCCAGTGCCGGTGCGGCACGCTGGGGCCGGATAATCGGGTCCTGTCCTTCTGAGTGTCAGCCGGCTTACCCCGTCTAAAGCCGAATATCTTCAAGCGCGCTGAATCACATTCCTGTCACGAAAATGCCGCAAAATTAGTACATGGAACGGTGGAGGAAGCGGCATTGAAAGCGTTATGTTTATCTCACTTCCAAGTTCCACCCAGGCTGATGCTAAATGTTCACCTCCGTCACAGACTCGTTACCGAGGAGCGAGCAAGAAAGCGCCTGGCCCGGGCTGGCCACAAGCAATCCCGCGACGTCCAGAGCCTGCGCGGCATCCGCGCAAAGATGATGCAGGAGAAGCGCCGCGTTGGGAAGATCCAGATGCGCAAGTAGATCAAAGCTGTCGAGGAGCGAAATGTCAAGAACGCCGAAGACAGGCTGCCCTGCGACCCGGTCCCGCACTACCTGCTGGACCGAAACGAACCAAGCGCCACCAAAGCCCTGGCGTCGTCTATCAAGCAAAGGCGTAATGAGAAGGTTGCCCGTTTAAACGTTACCCTACCCGAGGTTCGCGGCATCTCTGAGGATGAGATGTTCAAGGTCGTCATTACAGACAAGAAGACGCACTAGAAGAGCTGGAAGCGCATTGTCACCAAGCTTACTTTCGTTGTCGAAGGATTCACCAGGCAGAACCCGAAGGCAGAGAGGCTCGTTTGGTTTGTTGACACATCTTCCACCGAGGGGTATCGAAAGGCTGACGTTGCCTTTGTACTCTAGACCGATGGGACTTCGTCAGAAGTTCGCCTATGTCAGCCATCCTACTTTAGGCGTCACATTGAAGGCCCCGATCTTATCCGTCAAGAAGAACCCACAGAACCCGATGTGCACTCGCCTTGGAGTTCTGACGCGTGGCGCCGTTGTGGAGGTGAACGTCAGCGAGCTTGGATTGACAACGACTTTGGCCAAAGCTGTTTGGGGAAGGTATGCCCAGACCACGAACAATCCAGAAGGCGAGGACACGGTTAATGCGTAAAATGCCTTATTTCCCTTCTACAGATCAGATTATACTAACGTGCTCAGCATCCTCCTGATCTGACTTCAGCACGGAGTGCTCACGATATTCGTCTACATTGTGTCTGAATTGCATCGGAAATGGTTTCGAAAACAAGGTTTGTAGGGTGCGGGGAAAAGGACATCAAGTCCTAAAAATGAAGAATGCTTGAAATAACAGCATACCTACACAAAAGGCTACTGGCCAGATGACAGGCCGAAGGACGGGATCCAGATAATGAACAAGATACCAAACTGAACCAGAAGCATGTACTGGAAAGTCTCCAGCCCTGCCACTTGCGTGATGGCTCCCAGCATATACGGAAGCAACGCGCCGCCAACCTGCCCCAGCGACGCGACAAATGAGACGGCAGCGACATGCAGCTCCTTGGGCAATAGGTTGACCAACTGGACGACGGCCGAGGGGAACAGAGGCCCCATCACGAACCCAAGCAGAGCCATAACGACGACCGAGAACCACAACACCCGAATGAAAATGAACAGCAAAGTGAACACTGGGGCGAAGATGAGGTAAACGACGACGGCTCGTTTGACGCCCAGTTTGTCGGTCACCATGCCCAGCATCAGCCGCCCCGCTGCCATACCGGCCCAGAACGCAGACGAGCAGATGCTCGATGCGTAGGTGCTCGCGTGTCGGACGCGAAGCATGAAGGCTACGATCCAGCCGGAGATGGTGCATTCGGCTCCGACGTATATCAGCAGGTACCCCGCATATACCCATGTTGCCTTGTATTTGAAGATGGCTCCTTTGGAGGCAGCGTCGCTTGCAATCTCTTGGTATAGCTTGCTTTTGTGGTATCTCTCTGCGTTCTCGTTTCTGAACGCGCAGCAGAGGATGCAAGATTCGATAGCAGCTACTGCGGTCTGGGATCTCTGTTAGCACACCAAGTCACTTGCAAGATTCGCTCGAGGACCTACCAGGACATAGTACCAGCGATACCACAACCCGCCATCTTCCGAGAGCATCAAGCCCACTAGGTAAGGACATATAGCGGCCCCTGTAGAGAACGAGCCGTGCAGAAGCCCCGACAAGGTATTTGCATTATCCAAAGCAGCGAACCAAGCACACCAGGAACCATCGACGAGTCCGACTCCAAACGCTCCAGCGGCCGCACCCATCAAGAACACCGGGAATGGAGGACGAGCGGCAGCCACAGCCGCATAGAGTAAATGGCACAGCGGGCCGATAACAGCAATTCCTCTTTGGCCGAACTTGGCGTGAACCGAGTCATTGAGATACGACGCAATAACGTAGCCAATAGGCCCGACGAGGAAGAGCGCTGAAACTTGGATGTCCGTGAGTTGGTAGGACTCCTCCAGATGAGGGATGACAGCGCCCGTCGTTGACGTGAACAATCCAACCACCGCAAAAGACCATGCTGCCGCCGCGATTCGTAGGGTTGCGCTTTCTTCAGGAAGCTCGTCCGTCGATGTTTGAGATCGGCGGTCACTGTCCAGGAGTCCATCTTCAGCGAGATGCGCCTGTGTCGCTGGCTCAAGCAAAGGCTCGGTCTCCCCCGTGCGGGACGACGTCGGTCGAGGCGGTTTGGATGGCATATTGAGGCTAGTTTCGGGATCTTGATACTGTTTGCATACTTCGATTGATATGGGTCCGGGGTGTTTGTGTGTTGAGAAAGGGCAACTTGTATTGTAAGTTGAGTTGTTGTTGGAGAAGGTTGGGGGGTGCAGGGATCAGGTGATGTCTGTCCGCGGCAACTTTAGCCCAATTAGGCAGTAATTACAGCGTGTCTTGCTTGATTGGGAGAATGTTTCAGCGGCTTCAGGGGTGCCAAGTGTGCCAGAACATCTCCAAATGGAGGAATTGGCGGCCGTGGGGACTATTCTTGGCCACTCGTACAAAGTCAGGCCTATGGTGTTTCCTACATGCATGCTTTGCTCTTTACCAGGGCACGAATTTACTAGAGCACGTATATATCTCTTAAGGTGAGAATGTCAATACTTGTAAAATGTCCCACATTGCTCATCGCCTCTTAACTAGCGCTGCGAACTAATCAAATAAGTTGGTTTAAAGGATCTGACTCAATTATTAGCTCTCTGCACCAGCCAGGTCACTGTCTTTTGTATTCCCGGCAGAGAGTCCCGGCAGAGAGTGTTGTGACCAAACGTATGCAACAACTTGCTATTACTGCTCTTTCAAGGCATGCGATCACCTTAACGAGGGGACAATTGCACTACTGAAAGCCAGAATAATGATGAATGACAACATGTACCCGCTATCTCGGCACAATCCTCTGCAGGCTACATCCGGTCTATCGATATGAGTAAAGCTCTCAGCCCCGAAATAACAAAGCGATTGTGTTACGATCTTGTTGATGTGCAAGAGCACCTTCTCAATAAATTTCATGCCTGTCGGGAGCTCAATCTGGCTTACGGTGTTCCCGCCGTTGTCGTTAATCCCATCATCATTTACCCTGTCCAAGCAGCTCAAGCATGCCAAGACAACTTGCGAGTAGTTCTCTCCTGTCACTTGTGGTATTTGACTGTACGCTAAATGCGCCAAGTAGTCTTCTGGCAAAGCCAGCTTTGGTCACCTCAAAGTTCCTGGTCGGCCCGAACCGGGACCACGCCCACCACCGCACCGGCCATTACCGCAACGTCGGACATTGAGGAAGTGAGCCTGAGAAAATTTCTTGCTAATACGGACCCTGCGATGAGCTGGCAAGGCTTTTGAAGCACTGTCTTTACCCTGGCCATGACCGCGATTCCTATAAACAACGCCTTCACCACTGTTGCCGTGGGCTGGCCGCTTGGTCCGACCCAGCTGCCACCCGGGTTCGCGGCACACACAACAAAGCCAGCATAATGTTCGACGTTCTGGCGCGACTGGCCATGCTCCGGGTTCCAGGACACGACCTGCCAACGAATGAGCCCGGGTCGGTTCTTGGGTTCATCCTCAAGCCTATCAACAACAACAATGTTCCGGGTGTAGTAGGCGTCGCTTAACCCTTCAGGGAGGTACCACGAAACCGCCTCCGCCCTATCCGTAATAGCCAGGCGATTCTGAACTTCCCGCTCGTGATGGTAAATGCAAGCGGCGCTGTGCTGGAGACAGTGTGTGTCCTGGGGATCTCGCGACGCGCGTGCGGCGAGACGGGCATACCAGGGGCTTTCTGGTGAGAGAACGAGGTCAAGCCCCACGTCCTCGGCAGAATGCGGGCTACCCGACTCGGGCAGAGGTGGGAGTGGCATAGCAAGGACCTCGACCCTGTCCGGCAGCCCGCAAGAGCTGCGGTTGCGGTAGGTGCCTTTGATTATGGAACGGGCTAGGTCCTCGGCGCGTGCCGGTCTAAACGCGCCGGGGGAAGTGTCGTAAAAGACGTAGGCGTACGCCGGGCGCAAGGTCATCATGTCGGCATCCTCCGGGGTATTTGCGGAGACTGAGTATGCCACGAAGGCTGGGATACCTTCATGGCTAGATGCTGGGTGGATGATGGTCTTAGGCCGGGGTGCCGGTCTTTCAAACAGTTGTGGCTGCGGCAGCTCCTCGTTCTCTTCGTCGTCTTCGGTTTCTGGCGTGGGTGATGATACCACGAAGTGAAGTCTGCGGCAACCCAAACACATTGTTTCGAGTCTGTCGGGCCGTGAAAGTATGCAGTGAGACCCAATGGGTGGGCGGTGATTAACAGTGAAACCGGTTGAAAAATGTATGTGTATATAGACACAGAAGTTTGTGTTTGCTGAAGAATACTGAACAGTCTAAAAAGACACTACACCTTTCGACTATTTCAGATCTGATCCTGCTAAATAGAAGGACAATTTACCATATCTTATAGACAAAATATTATATAGTATCTCATAAGCGTATTAAAACTTCTTATCACAATTACATTTTGATAGAGTGTCTCATTCATCACGATAAATAATCACAAGTGTATGATTCTGGTGTGTTCATATTAATTATCATAAGGCCGGGCTTCAATGCCGAGCAAGCACGGTAACAATCACCAAGTCTCACAGCTTCACCTCGATATCATTCTGAGCGCCGCCAACTCCCTTCCACGCCCTCCGCAATCCATTCTCCGAGTCTCCAAACACCGGGTCGAGCTTGGGCTTCGGCACGCCCCAGACCTTCTCGAAGTCGCCTCCCCCGAGCACAAAATCCCACTCTCCTCCGCTGTAAGCACCCATCATCGTGTATCCCGACAACTCAACCTTCCCCAGCGCCTCGCGCGGATTGTCGGCTTCGATCCCGTGTCCCTTTCCGGGACTCAACAGCCCAAATGGCGCCTCTGGCCTCGTGTTGTAGGTCTTGTGTGCCACTCCAGCAGGGATGATGAAGACGTCGCCAGCTTCTGCCTGAAGCTCCACGCCGCCCTTCTCCCAGGACGACTCGTACGTGTTCTTGTCCAGGTCCTCGTCGGTATCTGCCACGCCGAAGCGAATCGTGGCGTTTCCAGACAGAACGGCCATGCACTCGTGGGCCTTGGAGTGGAAGTGCGAGAGCTGGGTCTGGCCGTATCGGAAGATCCACTGAACGTCCCATCCGTTGGTCGTGAATCTATCCCATACTTGCAGGGCAGAGCAGTGCGATGTCTTCG